TTATCTGTTAAAAGTTAAATTAAATACAAAATAGACTTTAAAATAGTATATTTTAACCATGGAATAGAATATATTACCTTTGTAATCATCAACAAATTGACTGGAATGAACAGAGCCAGCAATATCACAGAATCACATTCTGCCACAGTAATGAAATGCACACAAAACATATCAAATCTTACAAACAATGTAATGATTGCTCTCCCATAAATACTTTCCTCTTCCAAACACATAACAGATTTACCCCCCAACTGCAACTAGTCATTCTTTGAAGGTTCGTAAAACCTTGCTAGCAGAGCTCTTAGTATGTTTCCTGGAAGCTTCTGTTTCCTCTGAATCAAGCTGTTCAAACTGGCTCTGATCCTCTCGGCTAGTTCTTCCACTGTCTCGCCTTCTCTGTGGTAGATGGGCTCTCCGAGGTGTGCTCGAAGCTGCAGGCAAAGATTTATGTGTATGAGAAAGGTATGCCATCGACCTTTTTGATTATAAGATATGATTGGAAATAAGAAAAGAAAAGAAAAGAAAAGAAGAGAGAAGAAGAAGAAGAAAAAGAAGATAGAAAAGAAGTAGAAGAAGAAGAGGATAGAAAAGAAGTAGAAGAAGAAGGAGAAGAAAAAGAAGATAGAAAAGAAGTAGAAGAAGAAGAGGTTAAAGAAGAAGTAGAAGAAGAAGAAGAAGAAGAAAAAGAAGAAGAAGAAAAATGTCAGGATCCCCAATGAATCCAGTTAGTCTTGCTAGTCCATTATATACCTAAGGGAGTACACAGAAATCAAAAACATTCATTTGAATTCTCCCTGGACCAATAACTGGTACTCTGGCACAGTGGTGAGACAAGACTGGGCATAGGGAACTCCAGATAACACTATAACCTTAACCCATTCGCCACATATGGCAAGAATAGATGCCATGCCCACTTTGATACACGTTTATTTATTGTATTTACACATAGATGACTCCACAAGTTCTTAATCACCAAATAGCCAGTTTATCAGAACTACCTATTTCACCTGTTTACCCTTTTCCTTCACTTTAGGAAAGAGTTTTTTTATATCATATCATTGTCTAAAATATTCTAATGACAATTTAATAATCATGACATCAGCAACAATAATAACAGCATTGATAGCAATAGTATTAATTTTCCCACCAATTCAATAAATGGGAAAATCAGGGTCGGTAACTAGGGCCTACTGATAGACTCCTTGCCGGCTGAGCACATGTGGCGCCATCTGTATGTAACAAAATTCACCAAAAACTACAGAGGACAGAACATAAATCCGTGGCGAATGGGTTAATAGAGGACTGATGCATGAAAGGAGTTACAGTATCACTCTGTAATTTATAACACCTACACTGACTTTGAGCATGAGAGTTCATATATCAAGCCGAATCACCAGCTTGTAGTGCTTTGGTGCGCCACCGTGGAATACAGCTGCACGCCACAGAGCAAGCTGTTAGTTTTGATGCCTCACCCATCGGGAAGAGGTTAACTAATCACCTTAAATTTAACTTTAATGTAAAACTAACATTAACTTCTACGAACCACATGATGTGATCAACATGTCATGAAAAAATTTGGCTTGAGGGGCAGTGATGTGAACACATTGTCATGGGAAAGCCTGGCTGCAGGTCGGGTGACAAGAACTTGCTGTCGTGAGCATTTCACTGAAGGCAGGCTGACAGGAAAGACTCACCATGAGTGCACAAATCTCTTGGAAGGTAATTAGACACCACTGGCATTTAGAGAGGGGCTTTTGCGGTATATGTGGAATGTATATGAATATTATGAAAAAAAAATAAATAAATAAAAAAAAATAAAATAAAAAATAAAAAATCAAATGACACAAATAACAAAATAAATATAATTGTTTTTCTTGAACTGAGTTATAGACTACCTAGAGGGATGACATGGAGTCTATACAAGGGAAACCTTGTCTACTACCACCTGGATAATACAAATCAAATGACAAATCTGGACATTGGAAAATGGTATAAAAAACTAAAAACACTTATGCATTAAAAGTGAGTATAACATTGCAAAGGGGAGCCACAGGGTCTAATTACCCCACACGAGTGCGCTCAGCCTACAAGCCATGTACCCTGCAGAATGGCTGGTCACACAAGCCTAATGCCCAGATTTTGAGCCTTGTTATTGCCAAGGAGCCACTGGATCCAAGGATGACTGTTGCATTCTCATTAGAATTTTTTCTTCCCAATTTTGCAAAGAAAATTCTAAATGCTGTTCGACAAAAATGTATAATTGTAAAAAGCAATTTGCTTCCATTTATCATTCAATGTAATTATCAGCAGAATATATAATGCGTACACAACAAAGATTCCTTTTTATCAAATTTTTCATAGGAACATAGGGCAGGAAAATTGATTGATTATTTAAAATTATCTGTGTCAACAGCTAAGGTCATTAGCGGCGAATAGGGCAGGAAAAGACTATCCACAAAACAGGTCTATGAATAGGTGAGAAAACATTTCAACATCCTCC